CCCTTTTTGCTGCAGGGGGGGACTCTTTCTTCCCCCTGGCGATGGTGTCTTCTCACTCCCAGACAGCCCCTCTCCCTGGCTTTTCACACCTGCTCCAAGGACATCCTGCACGCCCCTCCCAGCCATCTACATCTCACCCTGTTCTCTCTCCCTCAGCACTCCCACTCTCCATGTCAGTGCAGATCCTCCAGGAAGCAAATGCTAAGACAGAAACAGATGTACAAGAGATCTGTTGGGAGTGACGCCCGTTTGGATAAAGGACAGGAGGAGCCCCAGGCTGTGGCTCTGAAGAAGTCTTGTCCAGGCCACAGGAAGCAAAGCTCGCCCACGGGAGGAGTTCCTTGCAAGGCAGAAGTGGCCTCTGGTGCTCCCACGGTGCCTGGGCATTGGCTGGGGTGGCCCGGGGAAGGTATGGCTTCAGTATAAGTTGTGCTTCATCCCAGATGTGCAGTAGCTGGAGCCTGTCAGCCAGCTACACTCCTAGAAGCTTCTCTCCAGAAAGCAGACCTGAGCCCATGTTCTGCGCCCCACCCCATTCTCATCTCGGCCAACACGCTTAGGCTGCCTGAGTCCACTTAGCTCCGTCTACCGCCACAGCCAGCCTCTGACCCTGTTTGGTTCAGCCTCCTGCCCTCCTAACTGCCTCCACCTTAAATCTAAGTCAACATTAGCTCTTGCTGGGAAATGGCTTCCTAGGACCTCTCCCCAGCCCATCCTTTCCACAGAGCTAAAGGTTCAACTAAATAGCAAATCTGATGGTGGTTTTCTCTTCTTTGTGCTCCATGAGCAGTGATGGGACAAGATTCTAGCCTCTGTGACCTGGCAAGGACCTCCCTTCCTTTTCCTGGCACCCTCCAAGCCCTCCCCCCCACCACCCCTGCCTCTGCCAACAACACCTGACACCCCCAACCTCACAAGATCGCTCATGCTCCCTGAACTGGGGCTCAGTCTCCCCTGCTCCTCAAATCCTTTCACTCACGGCCCAATCTGCCTATTTACATCCTATGTAGACTTTGTTTTTTATTAACATTTATTTATTTTTTGAGAGTCAGAGAGAGACAGAGCACAAGCAGGGGAGGTGCAGAGAGAAGGAGACACAGAATCGGAAGCAGGCTCCAGGCTCCGAGCTGTCAGCACAGAGCCCGACGCAGGGCTCGAACCCACAAACCGTGAGATCATGACCCGAGCCGAAGTCGGTCGCTTAACCGACGGAGCCATCCAGGCGCCCCTACAGCCTTTGTATTTTAAAGTTTATTTATTTATTTTGAGAGAAAGAGAGAGTACAAGTGAGGGGGGCAGAGAGAGAGAGAGGGAGAGAGAAAATCACAAGCAGGCTCTGTGCTGTCAGCGCACAACCCATCATGGTACTTGATTCCATGACCCTGGGATCACAGCCTGAGCTGAAATCAAGTGTCAAACACTTAACGACTGAGCCACCCAGGTGCCCTAGACTCTATGCATCTTTTTCCAAAAGTGTATTTATTTTGAGAGAGGGAGAGAGAGAATCCCAGCCTAGAGCCCAATGCTGGGCTCAATCTCACCAACCGAGACATCATGACCTGAGCCAAAATCAAGAGTCGGACGCTTAACCAACTAAGCCACCCAGGTGCCCCTTATGCATCCTTTAATCTGGTCCCAATGATGTCACCCCCGCACGATGCCTTCCATGATGATTCAAGCCAACAGAATCTTACCCTGGGCTTCAAGACCTTTCTTGTTATCCCCCTTAACACTGTAGTCAAATGTGGATGCCAAAAGTCACCCTGTTTTCTCCCCAGACACCAGTGAAATCATCTGTCCATCTGAGCTGGCAGGGAAGCAGTCTGATGAGCGGGACATAAAAAGCACGCGGGGCCAGAGCGCCACAAGGACCGGTGAGGGCAGAGGGGTAAGGAGGCGACCCCGCGTGGGAAATGGCGTGGTGCTTCAGACTCATTGTCAAGACGTGGCATCTTTCCCTGATACACAGCTCACGGAGGGACTGCAGACCACAGCTTGAACTGGGGCCACGGCCACGTGCAGCAGGTAAACTGGAAACAGCACACATGGTCAGTAATGCCCGTGAAGAGCCGACACGCCGTGAAGTAGAGTAGACGTGGTTTAGTCTCTTTCCATGTCCTGCAACCTCGGAGGCTGAAGGAAGGGGCAAAAGGAAATCCAGACGCAGGGCGCACAGGCGAGTTGAAGCATCTGCCCGCTGGGGTGCCCTTCCAGTCCTGACGGGGCAGAGTCACTGAAATCCTCCTTCGTCTCCTCTTGCTGCAGGTTTGCTCCCTTCTCCACAGGAAGCCTCCAGACATCCAAGAGCTATCAGCACGTGTGTTGCATATCGTCCAGACCCGTCTACTGCAGTGGGAGAGAGGTTCTAAGGTCGGCTTGCGTTAGGGGCACCCAGGGTCCAAGCAGCCCAGGCAGACAAGTGCAGGTGGGGCTGCAACGGGACGCTGCCTGGCTGACCAAGCAGGAGAGTCCATCTCCAGCCCCGGGCCCCACGCCTTGGCCCTCCCCAGCCGGCCAAGAGAGCGCTGCCTCTCCCAAGGCCAGTGGGAGGAGGCATGGGGTGGCCTTTGATAGCCTGGACTACAGAGCCAGGCTATCTGGGTTTGAGTCCCACTTCCACCACCTACGGACAAATGCCTTCGTGTCTCCCACCCTCAGCTTCCTCGCAGAGATCACAGCACCCTGGCTGGGATGCCCCTTCTGCAGACAATAGCACATGGACCTTCTCAATCAGCCACACCCCTCAGATCGTGCTATAATCCCGGCACACAAGCGTTATCTGAGGCTCCAGATGTTTATTATGAATTTTCGTAATGTAATTGTTCAAACTTCAACCTTCAGAAATATTGCCAGAATTTTGTAATGAACACTCACATACCCACCACCTGGATTCTACAATTAACACGAATCTATCCGTTTCTTCAGCACTGCGTATCCATCTATGAGTGTATCCAGCAACCCATCTCATATTTTAAATTAGCTTTTAGTCGACAAATTGTGTTCAGAGTGAGATCTTGTAGGCTCGAAATAAGAGTTTAAAAAGGCCACATTTTCTAAATAACTGACGGCCAAAGACAAGAACGTACACACTGACTAGAGAATGTGTCTTTATTATGAAGTATGCCCTTGGATTTCTTGGGCTTTTTCAAAGTGTATGCATCATTGCTTTGGATAATTGTATACAATTACAAAACAATTCCAGGTCAGAGTCCATACGTGTCTAGTTAAGAGCAAAGATAAAACTCCACTGCCTGTAAATCCTGTCTCGGGCACACCCTGGCTTTGCTGGGCATGTTTCTTAATCTCATGGTGATTCAGTCTCCTCACTAACCCTGGAGGTACTAACAGGACTTACTTCACAGGCGGACTGTGCTAGATGGGCACAGAGAACAGCAGCAGGCACACAGAAGCATTCTGTAAAAATGCACAGGTAATTCACAATAGTTCCTAAACTCACCTGTTAATAACAACGAATTGGTAGTATGCTCAGTAGCTTTTCCCTCTTCGGGTCAGTCATTTTCCAGATTCCCAAAAGTCTCAGAGCACTAAGTGTCCGAGATAAACCATTTTGAAAGTGTTTGCTTTCCTGCTGATACCTGATTCCAGTGCACAGCTCTTTATTCTGCTGCTGCACAGACAGGCAGGGGCTAAACCATTTGGGGTTTTACCTGACAGTGTAAGGAGCCTCTATCCTGGGGGTAAAGAAACACCACTTGTCTATTCAGGGTATTGAATGTTAGCTGCTGTAATAAATACTCCCAGACACATGTGAGCACACACACACACACACACACACGCACACAAATCACGTATATGGCTTAACATAATATTTCCTTTGTCCCTTGTACAAAGCCTATGGTAGATACTGCCAGTTGGAACACGGTCCTCCAGTGGGAATTGAGGGATCCCCGCTCCTTCCACCTCAGGGAGCCCCTCCATGTTCCATGGAACTGGTCTCCCTACCTGCTACACCTGCCTTGGGCAGAGCCAGGAGCTGCTGGGATTCTCCCTGGCATCTTGCTGGCTGGCAGTCTGCTCCAGAGCACAGAATACTGCTAGAAAGACAGAGCCCTGACTGTGCCCCAGCTCCAAGCAGCCTTTGTGAATCCGCAAATTCCCTAGATGCATGGGACAATGTGGTGACCATGGTGAGGACTGGAGGGGTTCTCCTGTTTTGAAGGAACAAGGGATGTCAGCTGGGGAGGCAGAGGGCCCACCCTAGCCCACATCTGCTGGTGAATCTGGACTATCTGAACTGGATCCCTGCTCTTTAACATCTCATTTCTTCCCTGTCTTCTGATAGTCCTTGCTGGTCATTCTGTGTCTTTCGTACATGTCTCATTCGCCCTCTGGTAGAGTAGGGATTCTCAAGCCTTAGCCAGCAATGTAACCAGCCTGTTACCGCCCTGGTTGCACGGCTCTGCCCCTAGAATTTCTGCTTCAGAAACAGGCAGAACGTTGACTTCTCCAAAGAGTTCCTGGCATCTCTGATGCTGCTGGCCCCGGGGCCACACTTTGAGAACAGCCCCTCTAGAGAGTGAGGTCCACTCGACAGAAAGGACAGGTCTGTTTTTGCACCACAGGTATCCCGAGGTGCACACTGAAGAAATGAATCGGGGAACGACAGGAAAAGAGCAAGAGTGAGGAACGAGGAATGACGGAGGGAGGAAACTCCTGTTCCCCAGGCCCCATCCCGGACACCGTTCGGGCGGCGACCCGACAGCTCGGACAGCAGGACTCGACGACTTTCTGCGCCGGGACCCTGCAGCCCGCAGGCCCCACCCCCACGCAGCCGGGGCGTCTAGGCTTTGTGACGTCACCGCCCTGGCCTGCAAGAAGAATGGTTGCCATGGCGACGTAAATAGAAGGCCCGGACGCCCTGAGCCGGGAACTGCCGCGCGGAAGTTTCGGAGCTAGCCGCTGCGCACGGGGGCCGGTGGGTGCGCGCGGGGTCGCATGGGGGGGGGGGGGGGCGGGGCGCGGGGCCGGGGATGCGCGTGGGGCCCGGGGAGGGCTCCTCTGGCGCCCCTTGCAAGGCCCCTTTGCAAGGCTGCCCGTGTGTCCTTACTCGTTACTTTGCTTTATCATATACCTAGCTGTCTAGCCATCCCTGTGTCCTTCCATGCCTTGTGCACCCCCGCTGTATGGCCCACTGTTCATCCCAACCGAGTTGGGGTGTTGGGAAGCGGGGTGCTGCTAACTCGTCCTTCTCCAGGCCTGGGCAGTAGCAGAGTGTTGCTGGAATGGCTCGGACTTTGGAGGCCAGGAATCTTGAGCTGGAATCCCCGCTGTGGCCTTTCTTTGCTGTGTGACTTTGGACGCCTCGCTGAATCTCCACTTTGCTTCTTCCTTTGCAAAAGGAAAATTTCATTCAGCGAATCGTTAAGACGCTCCAAAGACGCCACGCTAGGCGCTTTGATGAGCACATTGGCTCCACGTGAGAAAAGACCCCTGTCCTCTTGGAGGTTGCTTTCAGGGGGGAAATAGGCAATGCACAGATTTTTTTTAAGTGATAACTCAGCGGTAACTGCAGCGAAGAAAGTAAGGTGAGGTCATATGGGGTTGGGGAGAAAGAAAGCATGTGGACGGTGTGGTGAAGGAAAACATCTCTGAAGTGGTGCAGGGGGAGCACCCTCCCACCCACAGCTGGGTGTGGGTGAACGTTTTTTGGCCAAGGAAGTGGTACATGCAAAGACCCTGAGACAGAGCAAGGCTGTGCAGGAAGTCTGTGTCTTGTGTGGCGGTGCATGCTCTAGAAACAGAAAGATAAGTCAGGGCAACTGGAACCAAGTCAAGGAGGGGAGAGAGGATGAAGGAGGGGGGAGGCGGGAAGATATAGGTGTTGGCCACACAGTGAGCCCTCAGTAGATGCGAGCTGTTCCCAGCCACCCAGGGATACGGGGGTGAGGGCCCGGGGATCATCTGGCTCAAACACTGTGTCACTCCTCAGGTTGGAATCGCCTTTAGCCAAGGCCAAGTTTTGCAATAAGCCTTTGTTCCTCTGTCCAGATGTCCAAGATAACATCACTATGGTCTCCAAGGACATAATTTACAACAGTAAGTATGGGGCTGGCCTAGGCTCAGAATCAGTGACAGCCTAGGGAGCTTGGGATAGTGAGGTCCAGGGTCAGTTGAGGTGAAGGTGTTTCCAAATCAGGCCATGAGGCAGAAATCCCAGGTGTGCCAGGTTCCCTAGAAACTCCATGTTCCATTCCTAGGGCGCTGTAACAAAGTGCCACAACAGACTGGCGGCTTAAACCACAGACATTTATTGTCTCACGGCTCTGAGGAGCTGAAGTCCAAGACATAGGTGTCCCCGGCAGGACTGGTGCCTTCTGAGGGCCACGAGGAAGAGTCTGTTCCAGGCTGTCTCCTGGCTTCGTTGGCTGGCAATGTCTGGCGTTCCTCGGATTATGGATGCATCACTCTGCCTTCATCGTCACATGGCATTCTGCCTGTGTGCGTGTCTGTTGCAAATTTCGCCTTTTGATTAAGGTCGGGAGTCATACAGGATAGGTGCCCACACTACTACCCATGACCTCATCTACATCTACAATGACCCTATTTCTTACCAGGGTCATGTCATGAGGTGCTGGAAGTTAGGATTTCAAGTACTCAGAAACATTAACTTGGAGGGGTGGGGGACACAATTCACCCCATAATAGGTTTTGTAGAAGGTACCATAGTGGAGGTGGGGCTCTCTCAGCCTTTCTGCAGCTATGGTCACTGGGATGAGCCCAGAGGAAGTACCAGCTGGCCCCAGGCCCTTGTGGGAGGACATCCTGCCTCCTCTGAAGTCACACACCTGCTGCCAGGTGCCCCCCCTGGGTGGCCTGGAGGGAGGCCGCCAGGGCTGGGGGGGGGGGAGGGGCGGGTTGCAGAGTAGGAAACACTGTCATCTGTGTGCTCTTAAATGCCTTCAGCTTGTAATTTGTTTTTGAGTAGGTAAACTATTGCCATGGTTCAAAATTCCAAAGTGTTCAAAGCCCCCTCTTGTGAAAGGCCCCACCTGTCCCCAGATACGCAGTATCGCCGCCTCAGAGGTGGCCCTTGGCTCCAATCTCTCACCTCCTTCCATAGAGCTCCATTCATAAGCTCTGTGCACACTGGCATATAAATACAGTGCATATACATATAGATACAGTTCATACAGTTTGTCCCTTTCTCACACAGATGGCCACACAAGACACAGGCTTCCTGCACCTTGGTTTTTTCCATTAACCCAGATACCATGGAGATGCTTTCTTATCAATATATGAGTACCCTTAGACTTCTAGTGTTGTGAGCAGAACAGTAATCCCATAGTGTGGATGTACCATAGTTTATTTAATCAGTCCATGCTAATTGGCATTTAGTTTGTTTTAAAACATGTACAGCTATCGGGGCCCCCCGGGTGGCTCAGTCGGTTAAGTGTCCATCTTGGTTCAGGTCATGATCTCACGATCCATGAGTTCGAGCCCCACGTTGGGTTCTGTGCTGCCAGCTCAGAGCCTGGAGCCTGCTTCAGATTCTGTGTCTCCGTCTCTCTGCCCCTCCCCCACTCATGCTCTATCTCTGTTTCTCAAAAATAAATAAACATTAAAAAAATATTTAAAAACATGTACAGATATCAACATTTGCCCCCACTGTTGCCATTCTGTCTTACTTGCTCTGTTCCAGAGTGAATTAAAAAATGAAGAAAGGCTGAAATGGGGTTACCAAAAAAAAAAAAAAAAAGATAGCTTTGAAATGTTTACAGACAACAAATCGATTCTAAACGCACAGACACACCCACACCCACACCCACACACACACACACACACACACACACCAATGCAGCAACATGACTGCACTAGCACAAGACCGTTGAAGACTTTATAAACTATGTTGATTCATCCAGAAGAGCCAGGAGAGTGGTTACATGGTGGGGGGGGGGGGGGGTGGGTACCCTGTAACCCTCAACACTGTGTATATCACTTCCCTTGCAGGTGACATGTAAATAGGAGGCTTCCCTGGTCTGGGTTGAGGGTCTGTGCCTTTGGAAGGAAACCGGGCCAAGCAGGTACCTCAAGTGTACAGACCCAGGGCATAACCAGGCCAGGCCAAGCAGGGGCACACAGGGGGGTACGTGAAATCGCTCCATGGGGGCAGATTGTTGAGCCTGACATCCTGGGTTCAGCTTCAGGAGCTGGGGACTAAGGTAAGGGCCAGAAAGACTGAGTTCCCTGGGAGGAGAGGGGAGCCTGGGCTAGGTACAGGTAGGCTGTCCGGACCCCAGCCCTACCCAGAGAGCCGAGGGCGGAGGCACTGGGGTCAGACACACCCGGTGGAGCACCGCACCTCTGCGAGCCTCAGCTACAGCATCTGTGGAATGGGAGCAATCCCCAGTCCCTAAGGCTATTGTGAGATGCAAATGGAAACACAGGTCAAGGGCTCAGCATGACGCCCTGTGCACCGTAAGTGCCCTATAAACAGTAGCCTCCTTGACATTGCTATTATTAGTCTCTCCACGGTCACCATTATTACAACCAGTACCCCACCTTCAGGGCCTCGGCTGGTCTCCCAGTGTGAAGCCTGAGTCTGAAGAAGATGCTCAGAGAATACAGGTGGAGCGGTGGTTAAGGGGTCTGGGCCAAGACAGCCGGAATTTGACATCAGAGGAGTGAGCTCTGGGTTTGCTCTTCATTCACAAACCTTTCTTAAGTGCCAGCTGGATGCAGGCATCTGTTCTAAGCACTAGGGATTCAGGAGTGAATAAAACCCTCCCCTTGGTGAGGACTCATATTGCGACAAGGGAGGCAGACATTGGAAAGCAAACAGTCTGTATTTACCAGCCAAGAAGCAGTAGAAGGAGACCTACCAGAGGCTTTGGGCAGGGGCATAGGGCATAATTTAAATGGGAGCGGTAGTCCGGGAAGGCGTCTCAGAGGAGGTGACATTCGATACCTATCAGTAACGCTCCTGAAGGATGAAATAGGACATTCGAGGCAGTGGAGAAAGCCCAGCAAAGGTCTTGAGGCCAGTATGAGCTTGCAGTGTGAGAGGAAGAGACAGAAAGCCAGTCTGGCACAACTTGGGTAGGGCCTTGCAGGCTGTGGGGAGGATTATTCAGTTCTGTTGAGGTGCTAGGAGGGGTTTAAGCAGGGAGATTGCACCATTTCTGGGCCTTATGACTTCAATGAGTAGGGATGCCATTGTCTGTGACACAGGAAGAGGGGCTGGTTCACCCACAGCCTCCCTGGAGATCCTGGGCAAGGCGTCACCCCTGGTGCAGAGGTGGACACTTAACAGAGACCTTGTCCAGGCAGAGGAGCCAGGGAAAGCCCAGACTAGACCCAAGGCTTCCCAGTCAGGCTTGTGGGGAGGGGTCTGCAGGACCCCTGCAGAAAGTTGGAGAGAAAAGCAATAAACAGCTTCCCTCTCAGAGCTGCTCTGTTCCTGCCACTCCACTGCCTGTGTTCCTAGGCCAGACCAGAATGCTCTTCCCCTAGATCTCCCTGTGGCTCCCTCCTCCGCCTCCTTTAGGAGTTCATTCAAATGTCACCTTCTGTTTTATTTTTCTTGGTGCCACTTTCCACCTGCCAACGTGCGTCAGCATTCCCAACTTGTCTGTCTCTCCCCAGCAAGTCGTAAGCTCCACCCAGGCAGGGGTGTTTGCCCGTCTTGCCTGCCGTACTTGCTTGGCAAGTAACAGGTCCTTGGTACAATCCTGTTGGCCTGAAAGCTTTCCCCTGAAGGTCGGAGTTCGGCAGGGATGTCTGCTAGCTATTCGACACTGTGCTAAAAGCTCAAGCCAGAGCATTTATGTTTCTTTTCTGAAGATTTTGTTTTTTGGGGCATCTGGGTGGCTCAGTCGGTTAAGTGTCCAACTTCAGCTCAGGTCATGACCTCGGGGTTCGTGAGTTTGAGCCCTGCGTCGGGCTGTGTGCTGACAGCTTGGAGCCTGGAGCCTGCTTTGGATTCTGTGTCTTCCTCTTTGCCTCTCGCCCACTTGTGCTCTCTCTCTCTCTCTCTCTTTCTCTCTCTCTCTCTCAAAAATAAATAAGCATTAAAAAAAAGATTTTGTTTTTAAGTAAACTCCCCACCCAGTGTGGGGCTCCAACTTACAACCCCCAGATCAAGCGTCACATGCTCCAGTGCCCGAGCCAGCCAGGCGCCCCCTCTGTAAAGGAAGACGGGAAACTACTCCTATATATAAAGATAATCCCAAGGAACGCACCAGAAAGCTGCTCGTGCAAGTAAATGAATTCAGCCAGGTTGCAGGGTACAAGATCAAAACACCAAAACTATTTGTGTTCCTACACGCCAGCACCAAGCCATCCAAAGTGGAAATTAAGAAAGCAACTCCATTCATAAGGGCATCTAAAAGAGTAAAATCTCTATGCTTGGGGTGACGTCATGGGAAATATTAAGAGTAGGAAGATCCAGGAATCCGTCTCTCCACCAAAACAACTTCTGAGCTGGCAGGAGCTATCAGAATCCCAATTTGGAACTCTAGAGTCTAGATGGACACTTGCAGTTTCCAGGGCAGAACTGGATGAAGAGGCTGGGAGGGGTGTGGGGGATGGGTGAAATAGGTGATAGGGATTCTGGAGAGCACTTGTCATCATGAGCACGGGGTGATGTATAGAATTGTTGAATCACTGTATTGTACACCCGAAACTAATATAACACTGTATGCTAACTAAAAAGAAAAAAAAAAGAGGGGCTCCTGGGTGGCTCAGTCAGTTAAGTGTCCAACTTGGGCTCTGGTCATGATCTCGAAGTTCGTGGGTTCGAGCCCCACATCAGCTCAGAGCCTGGAGCCTGCTTCGGATTCTGTGTCTCCCTCTCTCTCTCTGCCCCTCCTCCACTCACATTCTGTCTCTCTCTCTCTCTCAAAAATAAACATTAAAAAAATTTTTTTAAAAAGAGAACAAAAGCAATCATAAATGTGCCATGTAGATATATCAACGTAACGAAAAAGAACTATGGAAATGTAAATCCATATATAGATATTAAAATTGACACACAAATAAGAAAATTAAAAAAAATACAATGTAGGTTGCATTACTACTCAGGTCTGATGAGGCCAACAGATGAGAGGGTGGCTGCCATGGGAGAGGTAGTTTGTTATCCTCACAGATCCCTAGAAACAGGAAGCAGGGCCACACAGGGAAGGACCGGGCTGGGTCAAAAGCAGAGGGAGCAGGGCAACTGTGGGCAGGAGCCTCTGTTGTGATTTCCATGGGAAGAAACAGGTGAGGCAGGGTATATGGGCTTAGGGTTGACTGGATTGAGTAATTTCAGGACTCAGGGCATAGTGCTGTCTTGAGATGTCTGGTACCTGGCCTTGGGTGATTGGAGCAGGGGCCAGTGGCCCTGGGTATGAGAACCTGATAGCAGAGGTGGGAGGTGGGTGTGTGAGCTCCGGATTAGTTAGTTTGTACTCTTGGACAACTCCTTAACTCTCTCTAGGGATTGGCCAACCCCAGGGTGGAGAGGCAGGGGCAGTCCCTGCAGGGTCAGTAAGATCCAGATATTAGAGCATCAGATATAGAAAGGACAAGCCACAGTTAATGCACCTGTCCTCAAGGAGTTCCCCATCTTATGAAGGAAGGTGACCCCTACAGTCCTATAAGTCACTGAAGAGTGTGCTGGTTCTCTACTGCTGTGTAACAAATTCCCCCCAAAATTTGGTGGCTTAAAACAATAGTAAGCATGTGTTAGCTCAGTTTCCGTGGGTCAGGAACTCACAAGGGGCTTGGCTTGGGGTTCTGGCCCAGGGCATCTCCTTTGCGGTCATCTGAAGGCGAGGCTGGGGCCGCGGCATGGGCTCCCAGCAGGCTCAGTCACATGGCCGTTGGCTGGGGCTGACACTTCCAGAGCAGGTGATCCCAGAGAGAGCAAGGCAGGACCACAATGTCTTCTCTGACCTCGCTCCAAAAGTCACCCACTGTCGCTTCCACGGCTGGAGGGGTCATGGCAGGGCGTGAGTGCCAGGAGCCCAGGGACGCTGGGGGCTATGGTAGGTGGTAGCCACCACAGAGGATATGAGCGCGTGATCATTTTTCCAAATTGTGTCTTAAATGGTCTGCCAGGCTGCCAGGTATGGTCAAGACTCCATGCAGCCACCTCTTTGGGCTCTGGCATGTGTCTCTTCTTTGCCCTCTCACACCCAGGGGTGGGCAAGGCCCCTGCTGTTAAAAGCACCGAATTACTCCTCTTGGTTTTCCCCGCCTCTCAAATACCTCCCCTTGAGTGGACCTTCTGTGTCCTGTGGGGAATCTGGTGGTGGCCCTTCCCCAGCTGTGTGGCCCCTTTCTGACTGTGCACCTCCCCCGCATTCACAGCCATCCCTTGAGAGCTACCGTGTCTACTCCATCCCCTCCCTAACCCTGTGGGATCCTGGCTTCTGCCCCATCACTCCACCCTGCCCATCTCGCTCTGGGGGCGTGGCTGAGGCCTCTCCAAGGGCACCTCCCCTCCACTCGCTCCTTCTCCGGCCCTCCTCCCTGGGCTCTAGTCCTCTCTGGCCTGTCTATCTGCTCTGTCGGTCTCCCTGCCAAGCTCCTCCACCATCGGGGTTCCTGGGGCTGTGTCCTGGGCCGTCCTCTCTCTCAGCCACGACCACAGCCTCAGTTTCCATCTGTCCACTAGGGACACCCACATTTCTGTCCTCTCTTCCCCTAGTCCCCAGGCCTCCATCAACAGTGGCCTCTTCAGAGCCCCTGTTTGGCGGTTGCCACGGGGACCTGAACCCAGCACCCTGCCTGAGCTCCGGGCCTCCTGATCCCCACCCCCGCCACCCCAGATCCCTCCTTCCCTTCTCTGCCACCTCAGCAAACAGCGCCTGATGCAAGGGCGTTCTTGCCTAAGGGATGGAGTTATCCCTGGGGCTCCCTTCTCTCCCATGCCCACACCCAGTCAGGCACCAAGCACCTCCCCCCCCCCACCGGGCTCTTCTGGAAAGCACTGCATCCATGCCTACTCCCGCCCCGTCCTGCCACTGACTCCCACCCTCATCTAAGCCCCCAGCCGTCTTCTGTGGGGAGCAGAAGGTCCTGGTAGTGCGGAGGACAGGCTCGGCGGTGTGCAGGGGAGATACTGAGTAAGTCCCAGAGTGAAGGAGGGACGAGGCTGGGTCCCACAGTGCTGGCCCATCCCTCTTGTAGCCGGAGTGCAGAGAAGGTGTCTCAAGGGAGTAGAGGCAGAGAGACAGCTGGCTGCTGGAGAAAGAGCAGGTCAACAGGTTGCTTCCCCAGGGAGCTGGCATCTTCCCCCCCCCCCCCCCCCCCACCGCACAGGTGCTACTGGAGGCAGGAGGCGCCCACCCCCTCGTCTCCCCCTGGAGGCAGGAGGCGCCCACCCCCTCATCTCCCCCTGCTGGGGGCAGGAAGAGGGGGCATGTTATCACTTTCTATGAGGACATGTTGCAGCCAGCTCACCTCTCCCGGAGAATTTTTCTAAAAGTAGGCTTCCATTTTTAAAGCTTTTTAATTAAAAAAAAAAAAAGCATCCTGTTAAAGTACTAGAAGTTAAAGTACTAGAAGAAAACAGGAACTTTTTACATGTACTTAACCTTCAGATGCAGAATGCCTCTCTAAGCAAGATACAAAATGCCAAAGCATTGCACTGAGTAAACATTAAAATGTCCTGTAAGGCAAATGCATGAGAGACAGTCCAAAGGTAATAGTCGTATCAGCGGGAGCAAACATACTGTCAGCAGCTCCGACGAACAAAGGAGCTAGTGTCCTCTAATAGGTAGAAGTGCTCAAGATCATTTAAAAACTACCACATCCCAATTTAAAAATGAGCAAAGGATACTAACAGAGAGAAGCCAGGATAATCAGCATCTGAAAAGATACACGATCTTTTCTGAGATCAAGAAGTGCAAAGTGCAAATTAAAATCAAGATGAGTTTATTGCCTCTCAGACTGACAAATTCCAGGTGTGTGGGAAACAGTCCAGCTCAAGCTGGTGATAGAGAGCAAGGATTGTGCAAGTTTGGAAATTGCATGAGATTAGAAATAGCCTCAGGGTCCTGACTAAGGGGCACCTGGCTAAGGGGACCTGACTATGGAGCAAGGAGATTTGTGCATGGGCAGATATACTGTTTCTGAGAGAGAGAGAGAGAATGCAAGAAGGGAAGAAGGGCAGAGAGAGAGAGAGAGAGAGAGAATCCCAAGTGGGCTCTACACTCAGCACAGAGCCCGATGCAGGGCTCGATCTCATGACCCTGGGATCATGACCTGAGCCAAAATCAAGAGTCAGACACTCGACCGACTGAACCGTTCCTCTATTCTTTTTTTTCTAACTTTTAAAAAATGATGGGAAATGATCCATAACAAAATTTACTCCTTTGAGCATTTTTAAGTATACAGACCAGTGGCATTGTAAGTACCTTCGCACTGGTGGGTAACCGCCACCACCATCCAAACCCAGAACTTTTTCATCTTGTAAAACTGAAATTCTGTCTCCATTGAACACTAACTCCCCACCCCATCCCCTCCCCCAGTGGCTGACACCCACCATTCTGGTTTCTGTCCGTAGGAGTCTGACTGCTCTGGGGACCTCATGTAAGTTGGCTCATACAGTGTTTGTCCTTGTGTGACTGGCTTCTGTCACTCAGCACAGTGTCCTCAAGGTTCATCCATGGTGTAGCATGAAAGATGATTTTGCAGTGAAAAAGTAAGGGGACATCTAAGCACGCGTATGCAAAAATACCTCTGGTTAGAGAAACAAAGATCCATTTGGTAGGGAGGGCTCCGGGTGAGGATTTTTCGTCGTATCAACATGTCATTTCAGTGGTCATTGTAACACAGCAAACCACATCGTTAACCCTTTTTGCCATGCCTGTGCATTGCTCTTTTAATTAAGACAAAAGTTGAATTTCATTAGAGTTTTGGTTTGTTTGGCTTGGGTTTTAATCTATTGAAATAATAGCAGTATCTGTTGACTTTTGTGATCTAGTTAACTAAATGTTGCTACCTGGCAATTGAACCATGCAGTCAGCCAGATGGAGAATATGCACCCAGCAGTCTGTGCTCCTGAATTCTCCACACACCTCACCGCTCCCTATTGCCTCCCCTCTGCTCACCGTTATATATGCAGTTTGACCTGCAGGCATCTGAGTTGTCAGCCCCACACCCTTGACCCACCTGCCAGGGCCACAGGACAGCTCTCTTCCTCACTCTTTCCACAGCCCATCACCCAGCTGCTCAGGGTCTGCCCTTGGTATATGTCCCTCACCTCACAAGCCCTGCCTTCCCGGCATCATCCCAAGTCTCCTCCCCCAAGCTGGTCCAAAATGACTGGCTGCCCACCTGAGCACATCCCCAGGCTCTCTGGCAGCCCCCTCCCCATCTGCCAGCAGCTGGCTGCCCTCCCAAGCTGGCATAGACTGGAATCTCCAAGCTACAGATGATTTCTGAGTTGGGGTAGGAGAACCTACCAGGCCAAATGCCTCCATCCCTGTGGGTGTCAGTTGAAGGGAAGGCATCAAGGATATGGGCTTCCCCAATTTTCCGCTGCAGTCCCGAGGGAAGCCCTGGGAGGCTCACAGTAAAGGCGCAGGCAGGGCCCTGAAGCAGAGGGCTTGGGTCTGTGACCTCCCCATAAACGGGCCCTGCACGCCTCTCGTGGGGCAAATGGAAGGATGCCGAAGAGAAAAGCGCAAAACGTGTTGTGTGTGTCAGGCATGTGTGCACACGGGCCATTTTTGTGCACAGTTATCACAGCTTGCCAGCAAAGTCCGTACAATCCTCTCAGATGTGGAAACTGAGGCTCAGGGAAGCTGGGTGACTTGTCGGGGGTGGGGGGTAGGGGGCTCAGCAGGCAGGCAAGGGCACTGGAGTCTCTCCCAGCCTCCTGCTGTGTTCACGGCTTCAAGAGCCAATGAGTCATTTGCTGTGGCCTTTGCTTTCGTCTCCCCGCAGAGAACATCCTGGAGTCCACGGACAATAGTTCTACTTCAGTCATTGAAGAAAAAAAGGAAAAACGCAGGAACACAGGTAAAGGGAGCCCTCAAGCTGGGAGCTGAAGTCTGCGTGGGTGAGTCAGACATCTCCCTCTGTAGGCCTGTCTCCAACACCGGTGGCAAAAGGAAAGTCTTCTGCTTCCAATGGGTTACCGAGACCCAAAATAATAGTAATGTAAACAAAGTAGGATTTATTTTTCCTCCAGTAAAGGGAAATGTGGGAGGCAGTCCAGAGCTCCAGGAGGCCCCACAAACAGCAGTTCTAAGAAGCTGTCCCGGTGACCAGATCCCAAGTCTTTCTGCCTTCAAGCCAATTTTAGCCTTAGGGTTTCAACTGCAAAGTTATCATGTGGTCACAAAATAGCTGCTGCAGCCTCAGCCATCACATCTGATTTCAGACATGGGGAAAGGGTCAAGGGAGGAGCAAAACAGCCTCCCAGCCAGCTCAGTCCTCCTTGGAAAAATACCCTTCCCAGAGGACCCACACAGCAATTTCTGCCTATGTTCCATGGTCTAAAATTTGTCCTGTGGCCATCAGTACCTGAAAGGGAGGCTGAGCCATGTAACTTTTCAACTAGGCAACTTCCCCTTGTTAAGAGGAAGAAGGGTAGGCAGCTGGCTGCTTGTACTGCTTCCTCTGAGCCTCTGCAGTGCTGTTCCATCCCCCTGGCCTCCTGTGCCACCCCCCAGGTTCCAAGGCCAGTCTGATCCTTCCACAGAAGGGGGCAGGTGGGAGCACACTCCCTGAGCCTACCTCTCACAGGCTGAGCTCCCACCTCTCATTCCCCTGCCCGCCCCCCCACCTACCTGGTTTCCTCTTTCTTTTGATTCTGAAAACCCAAACCTGTCCAGGAATAGAGACTAAGGTCCTGTGAACTCAGGTGCCCATCACCAGTACAGAAGATTTAGCCACATTTGTTTCATCTATCCTTCTCTTTTTTTGTTTTTTGTCTTTGCCAGAACATTTTTTAATTTTAATTTTTAAAGTTTTAATTCCAATATAGTTAACCTACAACTAGAATAGTTTCAGGTGGACAATATAGTGATTGAACATTACTCAGTATTCATCATGATAGCTGTATGCTTTATTCCCCAACACCTGTTTCTCCCATCACCCCACGCCCCTCCCTCCCTCTGGTGACCATCAGTTTGGTTCTCTATGGTGAAGTGTCTGTTTCTTGGTTTGTCTCTTTTTCTGCCTTTGTTCATTTGTTTTATGTTGTAAATTCCACAAGTGAAATCACATTGTATTTGTCTTTCCTTGAGAGACTTAACATTGCTTAGCATAATACTCTCTAGCTCCATCCACGTTGTCACAAATAAGATTTCATTCATTTTTATGGCTAATATTCCTGTGTGTGCACGTGTGTGTGTGTGTGTGTGTGTGTGTGTGTGTGTGTATCACATCTTCTTTATCCATTCATTTATCCATGGACAACTGGGTTGTTTCCATACTTGGCAAGCATACTTTAAATTTAAATCCAGGCAGGGCACCTGGGTGGCTCAGTTAGGCGTCTGACTTCGGCTCAGGTCATGATCTCCCAGTTCGTGAGTTCAAGCCTCATGTCGGGCTCTGTGCTGACAGCTCAGAGCCTGGAGCTTGCTTCAGATTGTGTGTCTCCCTCTCTCTCTGCCCCTCCTCCACTCACACTCTATCATTCTCTCAAAAATAAATAAACATTAAAAAAAAAGTCAAATCCAGGCATGTTCTTGCATCATTACATCCCACAACATACATTTTTCAAAAATAGGGCTTTTCTTTGCAAGACCACAGTGAAGTTACCCAATTATCTCAGATATGTCTTCCTATAGAAGATTCGTTCCAATTGATTCAAATGAGATCTGATCATCTTCTCTCTCTTTACAATCTAGCAGAGCCCCTCCCCCACGTCCTTTCATTTTCTACGTGTTGACTTACTGAGAAATGGCGTTAATTACCTGTAGAACGACCCCTGTTCTGTATGTAATTGTTTGCTACCAGGTCATTGTTCTAGAAACTGTTTCTCTGTTCCTCATCTTTCCTTTAATTGTACATTTTAACCTTACGTGCTTGATAAGATGTTCCATTTTGTCCACAAGAATGCTTCCTACCACCTCTCACAAGAAGCCCGTGTGTCTAGCTGCCCCCCACTCGTGGCATTGCCACTCTCGGTGGGGTCTGGTGGTGACCGCCTGGCCCTCTGCCACATTCCCATCAACCATTCACCCAACAGCTTCTTCTAATCATGGATCCCTGTGCCTGAACTGATCACCACATTAAGGGTAAGGCATCCAGGTTTGGTGTGATTGGTTTGGTCCCTTCGCTAAGGTATAATTAGGTGAAATGCACAAATCATAGGTATACAGTTTGACAAATTTCAGTAAATGTATACACATTTGTAGCTTCCATCTCATTCGCCATCTAGAACATTTGCATCTTCCCGGAAGTTCCCTTTCCCCCAGAGACAGCAGGGCTCTGCTGTCACCCCAGAATCATTCTATCCATTCTCGAACCTCATATAAGTGCAGTCACACTCCGTGCTCTTTCGGTCCTGGCTTCTTTCACGCAACATCACACCTGTGAAATGCCAGTCACAAGAGTCCCTTCTTGGTTGTTGCTGTGTGCATTCTGTTGTGTGCATATGCCGACAGTATATCATTCTTTCCGGGATGGATGAACATTTGGGTTGTTTCTGGGTTTTTGATATTCTGAGCAATTTTGCAGTGAACATTGCTGTGCATGCCATTTAGAGGACATAAACGCTCATTTCTCCTGGAAATGAGGAAGGAGTGGAATTGCTGGCAGGATGTTTAACCTTAGTAGATAGTGCTGAGCAGTTTTCCAGAACACTTGTACCAATTCACAGTCCCACCAGTAATAGGTGTGAGCAATCCAGACGCTCCACATCCTTTCCAACACCTGGCACGTTGTCAATACTTTTGCTATTACCTGGCCCTTTGGATATGGATTAGTATCTCATATTTCCTGTGATCCATGAGAGTGATTACCTTTTCATATGTTCACTGATGACTCTGTTGTGAAGTGCCTGTTCCTGACTCTGCCCACTTTTCTGCTGGGTTGTCTTTTCATTTTAATGATTTCTAGGAACTCTTTACATATTCTGGAAACAAGTCATTCACCAGTTCTAAATATGCAAATACCTTCCCTCACTTGGCAGATTGGTTTTTCCCTTCTTAGTGGTGCATGTTTAATGAACAAAAGTTCCTAATTTTAGTGGAGTTCACTTTCCCAATCATTTTCTTATCGTTGGTATGTTTTATGAACTGTTTTAAAGCTCTCTGCTGACCCCCAAGGCCATGAAGATACTGCATTTTATACAAGTTTTGTTTTCACTTTACAATCAGACCTATAAATCATCTCTAATCTAGTTGTAACCATTTTGTTTGCAGATTCTTTGGATTTTCTCCTCTACAATCACATCACCTTGAGATGACATTATTTGTCCTTCCTTTCCAAGCTTATACTTTTTATTTCTTTTTCTTGCTTAACTACAACCCTGAGTAGAAGTGCAAAGACGGGCATCCATGCCTTGTTCCTGATCATGAGGGGCGGGGGAAGCACACAATATTTTGCCTAGAGGTTTCTTGTAGATTCCTGTACTCATTTCGTGTTGCTGCTATAGCAAATTACCACAAACTCAGTGGCTTAGAGCAATACAGATAAATTTTCTTACAATTCTGGAGGTCAGAGTCCAAAATGAAACTTAGAAAACTAGAATCAAAGTGTCCATGGGGCTGCGTTCCTTCCAGAGGCTCCAGGGGAGAATCTGCTTCCTTGCCTTTTCCAGCTTAGAGGCGCCTGCGTCCTTGGCTCCTGGCTCCTTCCTCCATTTCCAACTCCAGCAGCACAGCGTCCTCCGGTCTCTGTGACATCACTCCAACCTCTGCTTCATTGTCACACCTCCTCCTCATGCTGCTGGCCTTCCTGCCTCCTGTTAGAAGGACCCTCGTGATTGCATCAGACCCATCTGCAAATCCAGGACCATCTCGCATCTCAAGGTCCTTAGCTTCATCCCATCCGCAAAGTCCCCTTTACCATATAAGGGAGCCTAGTCACAGGTCTGGGGTGTAGGCCATGGACATCTTTGGGGGGCCATTACTCAGCTCACCACACTTCCTCTTATCAGACCAGGGAAGTCTCCTTCTATTCCTATGTTGCTAAGACTCTCATTAAAAATCAGTTTCGAACTGTATCAAATACTTTTACTGCATTTCTTGAAAAGATCATATAATTTTCTCCCCCATTCTGTTATTGGGGTTACTACATTGATTGGTTTCTAAATGTCAAACCGACTTTGCCTTTCTGGAATGATCTGCTCCAAATGACTGCCATCCTTGATCGTGGGCTCATCTTCACATTAATACATTAACCATTAGCCGTTCGGAAACATTCCCTACTTGCAGGACTGCAAATGCAATTTCTGTTTTTGGAAGCCCGTCCCCACATAGCTACTTCTAGCTCTGTGGCCTCGGGTGAGCCGCTTCCCTCTCCGTGCCTCAGTTTCCTCAGTGGGAGTAACAAGAATTCCCAACTCATAGGATTGCTATGAAAATCAAGTCAGGTATAGTCCTTGGTCTGGCCCACGGTTAAGTGCTCAGTGCTTGCTAACTATCGTAATTAATCTTTTTGATGGGGACACGGGACATGCAGCCCAGGCGTGCTACCGGCCAGTTTGGGGACATAAAGACTCCGACTCTGGCTCAGTCCTCACTCTTCTGAATTTAGGGAGATGCCTCTGCCCGGGGCTGCTGGGCAGATGCAGGGAGTGAGAGAGACAGGCATGAGGATGTGAGGAGGGGGTTAGCTGTGCAGCACCACTGCTGCACCCAGAGCCATCACTTCCTGCACACCCTCCTCCCACAGCCATTGGGCCGCACTTCCCCACTTAACCCCAGACCCGCTGCCTCCCCAGTTCCAACACTCCCTGTCTGCCAGGCTCCCCCCTTCTTGTCCGGAGCTGTGTGCAATTTCTAAACTTATGCCTTTTCTGGCGGGGGAGGGGGGGTGGGTGGCGGGGATGGCCTGGTGAGGGAGGCGAGCCACATGCCCAGGGCACCATGTCCCCCGACCTCCTCCCCCCGCCACCTCCCCCCCACCTCCCCTGCCGCCTGACACAGAGAGGCCCTTGGGCGGTCTCTTCTGGAACCCCTGTGTCGGAATCAAAGGATGTAAAAGAAAGTTGTGATTAGGCGTGGGACAAGAGTGCACGACTCCAAACCAAACCTGCACAAGCCCGGTCCCTTCTCCTCCCATCCACCACCCATGTGACCACTACCCACGTGACCTCTCCCTATCTTGGGCGCCCCCCTCCCACGGGCTCCCCTCTCCAGAAGCCCAGCTGAGAACGGACTGCCTGCTTCCTCCTCCCGGCTAGGCCCAGGAGTGGATAATCTTTCTTTATTCTTCTCACTCGTTTTCAAACTATTTTGACCGGTTGAAAAGTTGAAAGAATAGTACAAAGATGTTGTGGACTCGGGGCTTTCCTGACACCTCCACAGGACAGGTGTGGGTGAAGGGTCCTGGCGGACCACTGGGGTGACATGCTGGGGTTGCACTGGCCAGAAATGGCCCACCCCTCTGGCTTCCGCCCTGGTTCCCTCCGATGGCCTGAGCAGGGTGGAGTCTGTCAGTTTCTCCACTCTTCCTAGTTGACAAGTAGGACTCTTGTGCGGCGGTATTTTGAGTCTCTTAGAACTTCAAATCCCCCCTTCACAGCCTCCCCTTTCTGCTGGTGAGGGTGTGAAATAAGACAGAAAGGAAAGGCAGGCCAGCATCAGACTTCGAAGTCTGGAAATGCTCACAGCCCCTGGCCTCTGTTCTCCCTTCCCGAAATCAGTTGCAAAGACCCAGTCCGTGGGGGCACACGGGTGTGTGCTGCGGGGTGTCCGAGGCGGCTCCCGGGCTGCTGCACATGTCCCGGCAACGGGTCCTGATGAAATCACGCGTTACCGCAGCCTTTTACATTTGCCTACAGGCCCACAAAGAATTAGTAATTTCGCAGGCAGCTGCTGAAGGTAAAGTGTTTTTAGTTATTTATTTTCTTAAAGATTTTTTTATTTTATTAATTTTTTAAAGTGTTTATTTTAGAACACTTTTAGAAAGAGATGGAGACACAGAATCCGAAGCAGGCTCCAGGCTCTATGCTGTCAGCACAGAGCCCAATGCTGGGCTCTAACTCATGAACCATGAGATCATGACCTGAGCCGAAGTCGGACGCTCAACCGACTGAGCCACCCAGGCGCCCCTGGTCAAGTGTTTTTTAAAAGAAGATATGAAATTATTAAAAATAGGTGTTAGCATGTACTAGAAGAAAATACCCCCAGAAATATTACCAGCGATTGTTTTGAAGTGGAGGAATTATTTTGTTATTATACTCTTTAGCTTCCAAGAATGCTTTACTTTGTTTTACAACGAATGCTGTTTCCTCCAAATGGAGGATGCGGGAGAAAGCAACCATATTTTTAAGACCTTAGTTTGGTGCTTCTGGGTTCTGTCCTCCCTGATCCCTGCTGAGCTGAGCAGTGGGAACCTAACCCTTACCCAAAGGGGTGGGAGGAGCAGCAAAATTAGGGTCCTTGGCAGCTCCCATCTCTCAAAGTCCTGCCCTGCCTCCCCTGGCCTCAGGTGTTTTGCCGTCACTCGCCCCCAAACTCAGCCTCCCTCTGGGGGGCTTGTGGAGAATCCTGCGGACAGGGCATTGCCCTACAGCACTCACTGCCCTCCGCAGGCAGGTGCCTCTGCTCTGGAGTCACCGGGCCTCCCCGACCATCTGGCCCCATCACTTCCCCACTCCTGCTTCTCCCCTCTGCAGAATGGGGGTTCCTGGGACTTTAAATGAGAGGGGACAGAGGGCCACATGTCTGAGACCGGGGGCGGGGGGTGGGAGCTGTGTTTACCAGGCCTCTTTCAGATGTCAGGGACAGAAGCCCAAGCCCACCTAGGTTAAACCTGACAGGTGAGTTTCTGCAGTCAGAAGGTCCAGGGTTGGATTTCAGGCACAGCTGGATCCAAGAGAACATTCAACACCTGCTCACGCTTTCAAGGAAGCTCCTCATGCTGGGTTGGGAGGGCACCAGGACTCCAGAGGCACAGACCACCTGTTTGGAAGAGCTGGCTCGTCTCTCCAATGAGGTATCTCCCTCCCCAGTGCCCTCGATTGTTCCTGACCATGCGGCTAATCCTTTCCACATGTCTGGAGACGTGGATTTCTTCTTGCTCAGAGATCAGGAGCGGAATAAGTCTCGCCTAGTGAGTATCCAGGACTGAGGCCTGCCTGCAACTCTTCCCTCCTTCATGCACGCAGACCCAGATTGCTCTTCTCAGAAGAGTACTTTCTTCAGGTCACTCTCTCACTCTAGAATAGTCAATGGTTCACTATTTTTAAAAAATGTTTATTGATACTTGAGAGAGAGAGAGAGAGAGAGAGAGAGAGTGAGGGAGGGGCAGAGAGAGAGGGAGACACAGAATCCCAAGCAGTCTCCAGGCTCCGGGTTGTCAGCACAGAGCCCCACACGGGGCTCGAACCCATGAGCCGTGATATCATGACCTGAGCTGAAGTTGGATGCTTAACTGACTGAGCCACCCAGGTGCCCCTCACTATTTTTAAAAAATCAACTCGAAACCCTGACGACCCAATCTCTGACCTGTCCCACTGTCTTACCCAGCTTCATCGCCACTCTTCCTGGGCCTTGTCAGAGTGGGCTGTTGGAAGCTGCTGTGGCCACCGTGCTTCAGCCACCAGGTCTTTCTGCTGTCCCTTGCATGAGATGCCACCCTCCTGACACTCCCTGTCCTTCAAGGCCCTTCTCAGACCTCAGGCCCCCTCTCGCCTCTCCCAGGAGACCCGCCCCTCCAACTGCTCCAGCCTTGCACAATCCCTCTCGTGGGAATTCTTGGAGGCCAAATCCACACACAAACATGCACCTGTGCGTGTGTGCGCGTGCGCACACACACGTACACATATGCATGGCCCTCAGCAGCACCTGGGAGTCCCTGAGCTAGCCCCGGACCCCCCTCCACCGGCCCGCGCTTTGTCTGCACCCCAGCATAGTCTGTCTTGCCTCCCCACCCAAGAGCCCACTTGCCCACTCCCACCTGCCGTGGCATGGCTGGAGCGAGCAAGCGTCACTGCAGCCAGGCTCAGGGAGGACTCACCAGCGGGCATCTTCACTGAGAAGTGCTCAGCATGGGCCAGGTTTCTGGGACATGGTCTCAGGCACATGCCTATGACCAGCCCTCCCGGGCTGACTCTGTCTACTTCAACTCATGGCTCAGTATCTGAGATTCCTCGGAGAACTGGCTCCGGCCGAGACCCCAACCGAAGACACAAAAGGAAATGCACGTTTTCAAGGCCCTACTCAGACCTCCCTGCCCCACCAACTGCCTAGAAGCTCTGTGGGGGCCACCATCAGTGTTTTCCCCATCCTGCTGCCATGCTGTGCACCCACTCATGCCCTGGAAGGAGACACTCCCACAAAGCCACACCGAGCAGCACACACTTCTGCGAGGCCTCCAAGTGGGCAAATACAGCAGAAACACACACAACTTTCTCTGACGGACTTAGAGACCTTCCTCCAGGGCAGGATTATCTCTTCCCAGCCTGGCCCTGCTTCCACGGTCGCTTCTGCCTTCTTCCTAAACCCCCCAAACATGGCACCCGTCCCCCCCCCCCAGCACAGCCCTCCCCCCTCAATCCCGCACCCCAGCAGAGCCCCCCCAATGTCACATTGACCCCAAGCAGCTGCCCAGTTTCTTCTAAGTGCAGACCCTCTGCCACTGGGAATCTAGGTGATATTTCCCCAGCTTTGCTGCACGGAGGTCCAATCTAGGGGCCTCGGGCTGGGTCCCGCCACAGATGTGGTTTCCCTAAGCAGCTTTCTAAGCATTCATTGCTGCACCTGGCAGCCCTGGGGAAAGGACTGATGAAGAGAAGAGGATTTGTGCAGGCCTGTCTGATCCTGCAGGCTGAGGTGCCTGGGCCATGGAAGGATGTGGAGAACCCCCAGGGCTTGGGCTGCAGGAAGGGCCGGGCTCCCCTGAGGGGGCCTTTGGCCTGCACTAGTCCTCAGGGAAGAAAAGCCCCCATCCCCACGCCATCCTGGGGTCCCCCCAAGCTGAGGGCTCAGGGACGGGAGCAACGCTGGGGCAGGTTGGAGGCCAGGCTGGGTGGAGAGGAGCGGATCCCCGGCGACCTGCCCGCCGCCGCCAGCTCTGACTACCGAGCTTGCAGACCAAACTCGGGATTTCGAGTTTCTTTTGGAGACTCACAAGATCTAGCTTCCCGGAACCTTCGGTGTGTCCGATTTAGCAAATCACAATTTGAGAATATGAGAATAGTGTGAATGAATTTCAGGAGGAACCATCGCTTAGTGAGTATGTCCCTGCACTACTGACCTGGAATGCAAACCTGGCTCGGCATCCTGTACTTAATCTGGCAACCCCACCCCCACCTCGCCCTTAACCCCCGCTCTCAGCCCCACTGCCTTCTCACCCCGGGAGCTGTGCTCAGAGCCCCCAGGGGCGTTTTCCCCGGCAGACAGCTCCGCAGCCCCCTCTGCGCGCAGCAATGCTCAGCCCCGCCAAGTGCACCCCCACCCTGACCCAAGTGCGCCCCCCCGGGCAATTCCCCCTTCACCTCCCCGCGCCGCATGCGCGTCCCCTCAAGGCTGTGCGACCCAGGGACAAGGCGTCGCCGCCGATGGGAGGACGCTGGTCCCAGGCGCGGTGGGCGAGGGGGTGGAAGTGGTGGCCGGCCCCGCCCGACCCCGGCCGACCCCGCCCAACAGGAGCGGGAGCAGAAGAAGACGCTGCAGATGCACCAAAAGATGACCTACGCGTCCAAAGTGTTGGCCAAGCACACCAGCCTGCGTCGCGAGCTGCAGCTGGAGGACGAGATGCAGGACCAGGAGGTGCCCGCCGAGGCGGAGCGGCTGCGCGCCTTCCACGACGACACGGCGTGGAAGCTCTCCATGACCAAAGGTGGCCCCCTTCCCCAGCGTCGGGTCTTGACCTCTGGGCGCGCACAGTGCTGTTCACGTGCTCGGAGAGGCAGGGCTCCGATGCAGTGGGGAAGGAGGGTCGTTTCTGTGTCTGACCCCGCCTCCCTCCATCACAGGGATGGATTCCAGCCGGACTGCCAATCTAAAAGCCTTTGAATCCCAACGTTGCTTGCATTCGGAAGGTTCCCGTGCACGTGAAGGCAGATTGCGCCCATATAAAATATAGTCCCTTAATATGGTGGAGGGAAAGAGCATCAGTCTGGAACCAGGTTCCCTGGGTTCAGATGTCAGCTTCAGCACTGAATGCCCTCGCCGTCCTGGGCCAGGTGTTCACCTCCTCTGCACGGCAGTTTCCTCTCCGGTCTGATGACAGTGGCGACCTCGTGGGTTGTGGGATTCAGCGTCTTTAGATGCTAGGCGGAAGTCCTGTGTGTGTGTGTGTGTGTGTGTGTGAGAGAGAGAGAGAGAGAGAGAGAGAGCTGTTATTAATTTTATGACCCAGCATTAATACTCTACCAGCCCAGATGATAGAGTCCTGGAACCCAACTGGTGTACTGAATGTGAATATTAATCCGAGACCCCCCAGCCTCGACCCCCTGACCCCGTGGCTTGTTATATGGGGGAACAAAGCCCCTGAGCTCACTTTGACATTATGTGTGCCGAGCTCTGCATGAAGAGACACAGAACTGCACTTTTTTCCTTTTGGTCTCTACCCTCCATTCCAAGATCTGGGAGAGGAAGCTGGTCTCAGTGGGAAGACTGGACCCAGCAGGTTTAGGCACCAGACCTGTCGGTATCCCAGATTTGACTTGCAGTGAGGACCTGGGTCTCCTTGAGGGAAGGGCCTTCCCACAAGATGGGCCAGGGAGGCAGAGGCCCAGCTGGGTCTCTGCCAGGCTTCTAGGCTTGAAACACCACTCCTACACCACACTAGGGTCTTCTGGAACGGAGAGGGTTTAAGAGATGAGGCAGAGAGTCACATGGCTCTGCTGTCCTTTCCTTGGCTCCTGGTCTCTCCAAAGTCAGGACGTCTCTGGGCTTTCCTCTCCAGAAAGACCAGGGAAAGAGGATCCCGTGGCCCTTTGCCCTCTGCTTTTGCTCCAGAAGGTCTTACAGGGGCCCACCTTAACTTTCTCCCCCTGGCTTCCCGCCTGGTGTGTAGACCTAGCTGATGAGGGTTTTTGGGGTGATAGTGGGGCCCATGCGGCCCGGAACCAAAGACCAAGAAAGAATTCTTGAAGACATCTTTGGTGCAAAAAGGTGATTTTCTTGAAGCATGGGGACAGGACCTGTGGGCAGGAAGAGCTGCCCGGGGACCATGAGGAGACACTGGGGGAGGTAGAGGCCAGCGGAAGTTTCCAGTGAGATTTTCACGAGCTAAAGAAGACTCACAGGATACTGGAGGCCTAGCTAGTGTCAAGCTAAGGTTGTTTTTACCTCTAGCAAAGCAGTAGCAGTAAGACAGCTCCTGCAGAAACTTACTCTGCCCGCCTCAGGTATCTGTCAATGGGCGGCAGGTTATAAGGACATTTAGTTCTGCCATTTCCTTCTGTCTTTGTTTCCCACATCGCTATGGAGACTTAGGTCCCGAAGGACTGTGATGCTCTATCAGTTAACCATTTGTTTTTCCCCTTTCCTTTGTTCTTGGGCCGCCTGGGCGGGGGTGTTTGCGGCCTATCAGCTTGCCTTATGCTCCCTCATCGTAGCTACTATCTAAACTGGATCCTGGGGACTTAGAGCACCCCAAATAGAGATCATGCTGCCGTGTTTTTCTCTCCCCATCCCTTTGCAGTTCCTGGCCCAATAGGTCTTTCATTATTAGGTGCAGCTGGGTGAAACTTCCTGGGCAGGGCTGTCCAGAGTCTCACTCCTGGTGAAAAGAGTACTACGGCAGGAGAGGCTCAGGCCAGACTCAGGAAAGGACTTCCCACCTGGCCCGATCTCCAGCAGTGGAGAGTGTGATATATCCACAGAGCCTCCTCTCCTGTTGCTAGAGACGGAGCCCAGTCTCCCAGAGTCCCCGTAACAACCTGGGCCTCACAGCAGAGCAGGTGCCTGGAGAGGTATCCCGGCCGGTCTGGGTCTCTCTCGCCCTGCCCACCCCGCCCCTCTCCTCTCTTTGCAGAAAAGAAGATGGAATGTGATAACCTGAACAACTACATCAACCAGAAGCGCCAGATGTTCCGCATCCAGGTTGGCCCAGCTGTGCTGTGGGGGGGGGGGGGTGCCCAGGCGGGGTCTGTCCCAGTGAGGGGTGTGACTCCCACTCTGGTGGCCCTCAGTACGCCCTGGACATGAAGCAGCAGGAGATCCAGCGGCTGGAGCTGCTGGTGACCAAGGAGGAGGCAGAGCTGGAGCGGGCAGAAAGGTCCCTGGAGAATGACGCCGCCCTGTTCGAGGAGTTCCTCCGGGAGAATAATCGGAGCTCGGTGCAGGCCCTGAAAGCGTGAGCCCACACGGAGGGCCCCCCAGTGCTCGTGGGGCCTGAGCACCTGCGCCCACGCTAGCCTGCAGCCCGCCTGCCCCCCATCCCCTCCCCCCACCACCTGACCCTGGCAGCTCCCCCCACCCACCGCCCCGCCCCAGGGCGGTGTATATGCCCCCTTTAACAGTTTTGCGACTGGCACCCTGCTCCCATCCCCATCCCCACCTCCAGGGCTGAGAAGGAGACCAAAACAAAGGTGGAGAAGATCTTGGAAATCCGGGACCTGACCACCCAGATCATGAACATCAAAAGGTGAGCGCGGAGGGCAAGCCACTGAGGTTGGCCTGCCGCCACTTCCCTCTGTCATTCGCCCCCAGCCAAAAGAAGCCCCCACGCAGGGCAGACCTCGTGGCTTTGCCTCTCAAACCTAAGTGGTTCAGGGACTCAAAGCCCTGCGGGACACAGCTGCACATTTTACAGAGGAGGTGACAGGGTCCAAGAGAGATCCAGTGACTTTCCCAAGGCCACAGCACCAGGAGGCAGGCTCACTTGGAGACCAGGGTCCCCAGGGTCAGCTGCAAGTCCAAAGTCACAGAGGGTTATACCTGTGGAGGTGTGACCCACGTCGGTCCCCAGCAGGCCAGTGTCCTCTCCCAGGCACACCTGTCCCCAGGAGAGCCAGGAGCACTCTGGGCTTACCCAGGCTGCAGAGGCAGTTCCCTCCGGAGGGGTCTCCCCACGAGGAGGAAGCTGACCTCCCCTCCCCCTCCCCAATCCAGCGAGATCTCCAAATTTGAAGACACTTTGCAGCATTACAAGGCCTACAAGGACTTCCTGTACAAGCTGTCGCCCAAGGAGTGGTTGGAAGAGAGGAAGGAGAAGCGTTTGGCTCTCAAAAAAGCCAAGGAGGTCACTGAGCCCCCCATAGAGAACACTTTACACTCCACGATCCGGGACAAAGGTAACAGGAAAGAAGGTAGTTCCCTGGGTCCACCCAGACCCTGTGCCCTGTGGTAGTGGCCTTGGAGGTGTCCAGGCCACAGGCTGGGCCCCTTCAGTGCCTGTAAAGCCCCAGCCAGGGGCAGCAGCTGCCCCTTAGGGCCCACACATTCCCTCAGGGAAGACAGGGCCATCTCTAACTCAGACCCAAGGGGTTTTCCTCCCTTGTAGGTCTTTCTGAAACTGCGTGGGCCCTAAAACTGTGTGGGGGCCCTGAAACTGTGGGGGCCCTTTCTGAAACTGTTGGGAGGGCCCCAGGGAGCCCTGTGCCCTCAAGCAGTATTGCTGAAGGCCTTGCTCCAGTGGAAGCCATCCGAAACCCCTCCCTTGTTTCCTGTAGAACCAGGGACCAAGGGCAAGACAGGCTCCAGAGGAACGTGGCTGGCGCAAGCTGGAGGGGCCCTGCCCCGGGCTGGGGCATGTGAAAACCATCCCTCTGTTTCCTCCAGAGGGGCAGGGCCCAAAGAAGTTCTGGAAGTTCCTGCAGGTGGCGCAGCTGGGGCAGATCCCGTCCAACACCCTGAACCTCCAGCATAGAAGCCAGGCCAGTGTGTATAGCGGGCTGAACGCCAAAGGGTGAGTGGGTCTGGGGTAGGGCAAGGAGGCTGGGGTAGTGGCTGGGGCCCGCTGGTGACTGCTCCCAAGTGGCTCCAGGCCAGGGGTGCCTAGGACAAGCCCAGCCTCTCCGGGAAGGGTGAGACCGTGACGAGGGGGCTGTTCCCAGCTTGAAGGGTGTATAGTCTGACTCAAGCCCCAAGATCGAGGTGTTTTCTAAACCGTTTTATTTCTGTCCGATTTGGTAACCTTCTGTCTGGGGTGGCCCACTTGGTTGCTAAAACGAGACAGTCAAATATAAACGGATGCAGGCAGACAAGTGGGTGCAGGGAGCGTCAGGGCCTTTTAAGAGAAGCCCGAGTCTGGGTTTTTACATAAAATGCTCTCTGGGCCTGGCTCCTCTCTGCTGCATGCCTGCGTGATCGTGCGCAGAAGCAGGCGTTGTTGGCGGTCGCCGCCTAGTGCCCCACCGCACGAAGCCCCACTCTCCAGGTCCTCTACGATTGGTGGCCTTTTGGGTTGTTCCCAATTCTTGGCTATTTTGATTAGAGCTGCTGCAAACATTCCAGTACTTTTATGTTGGAGCACTCTTTGCATGAGTATTTTTGTTGGAAACAAGAGTGGGAGTGCTGGTTCACGAGGCGAGTAGATGCTTAGCTTTAGCGGCTTCTGCCAAAGACCTGCCGTGGCTGCTACATTATACGCTCCAGCCAACAGGCAAGGGAGTTCCGGCTGCCCTGCCACGTCCTGTTCAGATCCGGCTATTGTAGGTCCCTTCCATTCTCGGTATTCTGGCATGGTTATTTCATAATAGAGTGTCTTGGGATGCCTGGGTGGTTCAGTCGGTTGAGCATCCGACTCTTGATCTGGACTTAGGTCGTGATCTCACAGTCCTGGGATTGAGTCCGCACCTACCGTGCGGAAACTGCTTGGGATTCTCTGTCTCCCTCTTTCTCTGCCTCTCCCCTGTGCTCTCTCTCGGCCTCTCTCTCTCAAAATAAATCAACGTTTAAAAAATAAAAGAGACTGTCTCGACAAACAGATCAGGAGATGAGGCCACTGAAATGGTAGTTTTTTTATTTTATTTTATTTTTTTTAATTTACATCCAAATTAGTTAGCATATGGTGCAACAATGATTTCAGGAGTAGATCCCTTAGTGCCCCTTACCCATTTAGTCCATCCCTCCTCCCACACCCCCTCCAGTAACCCCCAGTTTGTTCTCCGTATTTATGAGTCTCTTATGTTTTGTCCCCTTCCCTGTTTTTATATTATTTTTGCTTCCTTTCCCTTATGTTCATCTGTTTTGTCTCTCAAAGTCCTCATATGAGTGAAGTCCTATGATTTTTGTCTTTCTCTAATTTCGCTTAGCCTAATACCCTCCAGTTCCATCCACGTAGTTGCAGATGGCGAGATTTCATTCTTTTTGATTGCCGAGTAATACTCCATTGTATCTGTATAACCACATCTTCTTTATCCATTCATCCGTCGATGGGAATTTGGGCTCTTTCCATACTTTGGCTCTTGTTGATAGTGCTGCTGTAAACATGGGGGTGCATGTGCCCCTTCAAAACAGCACACCTGTACCCCGTGGGTAAATACCTAGGAGTGCCATTGCTGGGTCGTAGGGTGGTTCTATTTTTCATTTTTTGAGGAACCTCCATACTGCATTCCCAGAAATGGTAGTTTTTAAATGCAATACCACCTCACACCTGTCAGAATGGCTAACATGAACAACTCAGGCAACAACAGATGTTGGCGAGGATGCGGAGAAAAAGGAACCCTTTTGCACCGCTGGTGGGAATGCAAACTGGTGCAGCCACTCTGGAAAACAGTATGGAGGTGGCCCCAGGGGCTCAGCCTCCCCACCCCTCTCCTTTGTATCTTCTCTCATCCCTTAGGTGTACCAGCCTCTGTCCTTCCTCCTCTACGACAGCCTGGCAACCCTCTCCCATGCTTCCGTCCCCTACCTGCTCCTGAGGGCCACGCCCCTATGCGGATGACCCCCCCTTACATGTTTGTTCTCCCTACGCAACCTCCCATGTCCCCCAGCTGATGCTTCTCAGGCAGGAAGGGGACCTGAGTGCTACCAGTTTCCAAGCTCACTTTCATCTTGATGTGTCACGGTCCTGCCTTGTGAAGAAGACTGGCCACCGTTAGTGGGCCAGGCACATGCCTCGGGTTCACTTTTATCCCTGCAACCCCAGCCGGTGGGAGCTGTTGTTTACAGTTCGGTGTTGAACAGAACAGGCTCCGGGGGGTTTAGCTCTGCATGATTCCTCTACCGGGACTGCCCTCAGCCCTGGAGCTCCCACCATCCAGGCCCCATGTTGGGGCAGTCCCTCAGACTAGAGGTCTAGGATCACACTCTTCTGGGTCCCTCCATCTATTAGCCGTGTGACCAGGGTCACTGAGTACAGTTGAGCAGGTTGTGGGCTGCAGAAGGCACTCAGCTGAGAGGGCAAGTGGGAGCTAAAGTCCAGCCTACTCCCCAGACTACATCCATCTGGAGGCAGATTCTCAGGCACCTTATGGGCCAGCAGTGCCCTGCAGGTGACATGGGGCAGGTGGCTAGTTCTCAAAGCCCCATGTTCCTCATTTGCCAGAGGGACATCAATGTGTTTGGTGTGAGGTACAGGCCTGGTGAGTGATTTGGTTGTTCCTGTGGCCCTTCCTCTGAGAAGTCCTCCAGGGTTCCCCCTCAGGGCTCCCACAGAGCCCTGCACTTATCACCTCCCCATGTCAGGTGGGTCAGAGCCTGGAGTCACATGAGCCTCAGCCCAGGTTCCTAGGGGAGGAGCCCAGGCTCCTCGGGCTAGAAGCCTGCCCCACCTGCTTCTCAGCCAGCAGAACCTGCGCGTTGAGGGCAGGGGCCCAGGCCGAAGCGGGCCAGGAGGGGCGATGAGAGCAGGTTTGGAAGTCATTTGAGGTTGGGTCCCATCCAGCAGGGCCTTCGAAGGCCCACGCTGAGTGCTCAAAGCCCACGATTTTTCCAGTACCCCCGAGGGTCTGGGAGAGCCCCCGCCCCTGTGGGGTGCTCAGGGTCCATCAGAGGTGCTGCGAGTGTCACAGGATAGCCCAGTGGGACCATCAAGGACAAGTGCCAAGGCCATATCTAGATAGGGGAGGTGGGCAGAAAAGGCCCTGAAGGTGGCTCCTCGAAGGTAGGGGTGCCTGGGTGGTTCAGTCGGTTAAGCATCCGACCTCGGCTCAGGTCATGATTTCACAGCTCATGAGTGTGAGCCCTGCGTCAGGTTCTGTGCTGACAGCTCAGAGGCTGGATTCTGTGTCTCTATCTCTGTCCCTACTCTGCTCTCTCTCTCTCTCTCTCTCTCTCAAAAATAAACATTAAAGGGGCGCCTGGGTGGCTCAGTGGGTTGGGCATCCAACTTCAGCTCAGGTCATGATCTCGTGGTCCATGAGTTTGAGCCCTGCGTCAGGCTCCGGGCTGACAGCTCAGAGCCTGGAGCCTGTTTCAGATTCTGTGTCTCCCTCTCTCTTTGACCTTCCCCCCTTCATGCTCTGTCTCTGTCTCAAAAATGAAAAAACGTAAAAAAAGAATAAAATAAAATTTTAAAAAATAATAATAAATAAACATTAAAAAAAGAAGAAGAAGAATGGTCAATGAGGGGCAACCCTAGCAGTGGCAGTGGGTGCAAAGGCCCTGAGGTAGGTCAGCACCCGGAGAGACAGAAAGAGGGCGGGTAAGGCAGGAGCAGGGGAACTTCAGGAGGAGAAGGAGGCGAGGGGGGCAGCAGTGGCCCTGGGCAGCAGGTTCCAGGGAGGGGGCTGAGTTTTATTCTGTCTGAAGTGACATAAACTAACTGAATTTGAAACAGTCCCCTGACTGCTGAGTGACCATTGTGGGGCCAAGAGGAGGGCTAGTGCCCCTGCCTGGTCAGCTGGCGGGGTGAAGGAGGGGACAAGGACATAGCAGGGAGGTGCCCTGGTGACTCCAGACGGCTTCACCGCTGGGGCGGGAGAAGATGACCACCATCTCTGTGCACCAGGTCACTGCTGTCCTGACCCTGCATCTCTCTGCAGGTCAGACTCTACCACCACTATGACTGAGGACTCAGGCAGCGACGGGGAGGTCAGTGGCCACGCTCCGGGTGGGGCTGCGGAATCCGGTCCCCCTGCACCGACCGGCCAGCCCACATGCATGGCTCTGGTTGCAGGAGCTGGACCTATACTTCACGGAGCCCCAGCAGCTCCTGGACATCTTCACGAAGCTAGAGGAGCAGAACCTGTCGCTCATCCAGAACACGCAGGAGATGGAGGAGACCCTGGAGGATCTGAACTGCACCCTGAAAAACACCCAGATCCGCATGTAGGTCTCCTGCTGGGGCTGACCGGGCGGGGCAGGGGAAGCTTCTGGCCTTGGCTGTCATCCTGGGACCCTGGGATGCCACTGGGAATTGGGCTATGGCAGCCCCCCACCTTCCCCATCCAGGGCCCTGGCCCTGCCCTAGCTTTAGTTTTCTGGAAAGCTCCACAGGAAGCCTGATTCTGGGGAGAGGGCATGTCCTTTTGGGCAGAGGGGCTGTGGAGTGGGAAGAGGTCAGGTGGGTGGAGCCACATGGGGCTGGTCCCCTCCCTTGGAGCAGCCTGCAAATCAGAGGGAGGCTTCAAGGAAGGACACCCCCCCGCCCTCCCTCTCCCGTCCAGGTGCATTCTGCTGATGCCAGGCCCAGCAGGGCTGGGCTGTATCAGGCCTGTCAGAAGTGAGGAATCATCCCTTCATACCCAAACACTGACCGAGCACCCGTTCTGGGTCAGGTCCAGGTCTAGGCTCTCCAAGGATAAGGCCAGGCCCTGCCTCATTGAGCTGACATTTGACAGAGACAGGCAGACGGGCTCACGGACTGGACGTGGAGATACTGACATGTGCAAGAGGAACACAGACAATGATATGAGAGGGAGGCTGAAGTAGGGGTGGTGGCAGATAGGAGGGGGACAGGGGAGGCTCCCGGGGAAAGTGTCACTTGAACCAGGCTCTTCCTGAGCGATGGGAAGCTGCATAGAGATCTGGTGGTAGAGGGTTCCGGGCAGAGGGAAAGCAGGTGCGAAGAAGTAAGGAAGAAACCCACCCAAGACTCGGATGCCCCACAGGGAGCCATGTTCTTGAGTATCCATGTTTTGTTGGCCCGTGTTCTGCCGCGGAGAATCTCTTGCAGGTGCTGTGAAACTACTGGTTCTCGGGCGAGATTGTGTTTCCCAGAAAGCTGAGGGTAGCAGAGACAGAGGGGGAGATGAGCTGGGGAGACGCAGGCAGCCTCCCAGTTTCCAGGAACCTGGCGAGAGGACACACACACATGCATGCATAGCAGAATCCCAGAGATGCTGTCCCCTCACTGGTCTGTAGCCTGCTCAGCCATCCCTAAGTACCAACACTTTATTTCCAGAAGAGTCATAGCCTGTAGACATTAACTTCCATGAATCCAGCCCCCTCTCTCTGAGAAATATATATTTTTAAAATATATGCAGCTCACTTTCATGAGCACTCTCTCTCTCTCTCAAAACTAAACATTAAAAAACTTTTTTAAGTAATAAAAAAATAAAAATATATGCCACAAATAAACAATCTGAATAGGCCTATCTATTAAGGAAATTGAATCAACAATTAATAACCTGTAAAACAGAAAGCAGCAGACCCACATGGGTGTACTGGAAAATTCTACCAAACATTTAAGGAAAAAAATTTTACCAATTCTCTACAATCTCTTCCAGTTGATAGAAACAGGGAATACTTTCTTTTTTTTTTCTTTTTTTAAAATTTTTTAAATGTTTATTTATTATTTTTGAGAGACAGAGCATGAGCAGGGGAGGGATAGAGAGAGAGGGAGACACAGAATCTGAAGCAGGCTCCAGGCTCCAAGCTGTCAGCACAGAGCCCAACGTGGAGCTCAAACTCACAAAGTGTGAGATCATGACCTGAGCCGAAGTTGGATACTTAACCGACTGAGCCACCCAGGCGTCCCAACAGGGAATACTAACTCATTCTGTAAGACCAGCATTAACTCAATTCCAAAACCAGGCAAAGACATTAGAAGAAAAGACTACCACAGACCGGTATTTGTCATGGACACAGATGTAAAAATCCTCAACAAAATATTAGCAAATTGAATTGAACAATGTATAAGAAGAATTATAGATCATGACCACATGGGATTTTTCCCAGGTACGCAAGGCTGTTTCAACACTTGAAAATCAATTAGTGTAATCCAACACATCAACAAGCTAAAGAGGAAAAATCACATGATTATATCAATAGATGCAGAAAAAGCACTTGATAAAAATCTAACACAAATTCATAGTAAAAGCTCTCAATAAACTAGGAATAGAGGAGGACTTCCTGAACTTGATAAAAGGACATCTACAAAAACCCTACTGCTAACTTACACTTGAAGCCTTCTTGCTAAGATCAGGAATAAAGCAAGGATGTCTTCTCACCATTCGTTTCCAACATCTTACTGGGAGTCCCAGCTAATGCAATAAGACAAGAAAAGGAAATAGAGGTACAGGTTTCCCCTGCTATCAGAGTAGAACGTCCCTATAAAACCTTTCATAAGCCAAAATAGTGTAAAGCAAAGGAGCAATTACCATTAATTTATATGGAAAATTTTCTTTGTGTTCCCAGATGTGAAAAATAATCTCTCCTGGGCTTTTCCGATACCTTAGGACACCTCTTGCTAATAGATGCATGAAAAAGAGGTAAAGCACAGATGTGCAAAGACACGGTTCAAAGCTATGGCGGCTTGACGCTGAGATGCCGAATGTAGTTCCCAGGGAAGGAGCTTGGCAGGGCCAGTCTCGCTGCCTCCAGAATGGCTCACTGCACAACAGACGCTGAACACGATTGTCACTTCTTGCTTTTTTTCATAAAAGTGAAAATCCTCTGCCATTTTCTTTCAGTTAGCAAAAACAGGTACTAATGCAGGTCTTTCCGTTCATTGAAAAGGAGAGTGACCTAATATGAAGCTTAGAAAAGTGGGGAATGCCTAAATACAGATGGGGAAGAAAGAAATAAAACTTTGTTGGCACATGACATGATCATCTATGTAGAAAATCTCAAAGTATCAACAAAAAACTCCTAGACTGGTAAGCCATTCTAGCAACGTTACAGAATACAAGTCCCCTATAAACAAGTTCATTTCCTATGTACTAGCAATAAACAAGTGGAATTTGAGATTGAAAACACAATAATACCATTTTCATCAGCACCCTCAAAAAAGAAATGCTTACAAATCTAACAAAACATGCACAAGATGTATATGAGGAAAAATATAAAAATCTGATGATGGATCAAAGAATTAAATAAACAGATGCTTCACCTTTATAGGTAAGAAGTTTCAATACTGTCAAGATACCAGTTCCTCCCAACGTGATCTATAGATTTAACACAGTCCCAGTCAAAAGGCCAGCAAGTTATTTTGTCAATATCGACAAACTGATTCTAAAGTTTACACAGAGGCAAAAGACCCAGAATAGGTAACACATTTTTAAAGGAGAAGAAAAAAGTTGGATGACTCACACTACCTGAGTTCAAGTCTTACTGTAAAGCTACAGTAATCAAGACCTGTGCTACTGGCAAATAATTCAGTGGAACAGAATAGAGTAGCTCAGAAACAAACCCATCCAAATCTGTCAGCCGATCTCTGACAAAGGAGCAGAGGCAATACGGTGGAGCCAAGATACTTTGCAACAAGTGGTGCTGGGACGACCAGACGTCCACATGCAAAAAATGAATCTAGGCACGGACTTGACACCGTTAATAAAAAACTAACTTAAAATGGATCGTTGACCTAAGTGTAAAATGTAAAACCATAAAACTCCCAGAAAATAACATAGGAGCAAATCTAGATGATCTTGGGTGTGGTGGTTTTTCAATACAATACCAAAGTGACAATCCATGAAAGAAAGAATTGATAAGCTGGGTTTCATTGACATTAAAATTTCTGCTTTATGAAAGGCAATGTCAAGAGAGCTGAGAAGACCAGCCATAGGCTGGGAGAAAATATTTGTGAAATACATATCTGATAAACATCTCCAAACTATACAAAGAACTCTTAAAATTTAACAATAAGAAAACGAACGGGGTGCCTGGGTGGCTCACTTGGTTGGGGGTCTGACTTCGGCTCAGGTCATGGTCTCACAGTTCGTGAGTTTGAGCCCCGCATCGGGCTCTGTGCTGACAGCTCAGAGCCTGGAACCTGCTTCACATTCTGTGTCTCCTTCTCTCTCTGCCCCTCCGCCACTTGTGCTCTCTCTCCCTGTCAAAAATAAACATTAAAAACAAAAGAAGAAGAAAATGAACAACCTGGTTTAAAAATGGGCCAAACACCTGAACAACACTTCATCATCAAGAAGATATAGAGAAGGCAAATAAACATATGAAAAGATGTTCGACATCAGATGTCTTAAGGAATTGCAACTTAAAACAAGATTCTGCAATATACACCTACTAAAATGGACAAAATCTAAAAGACTGACAGCACCAAACGCTGGTGAGGATGTGGAGCAATGGGAACTCCCTTGGTCGTTGGAGGGAATGCAAAATGGCACAGCCACCTTAGAAGACAGTCTGGCAGTTCCTTACAAAGCTAAACGATCCAGCAGTCTCGCTCCTTGGTATTTACCCAAAGGAGTCAAAAACTTATGTCCACACAAAACCCACATGTGGTCATTTATGGCAGCTTTATTCATAATTGCCAAAACTTGGAAGCAACTGAGATGCCCTTCAGTAAGTAAACAGATAAACAAACTCAGTACACCCAGATAGCATATCATTCAGTGCTGAAAAGAAATGAGCTACGAAGCCACGAAAAAACATGGAGGAACCTTAAAAGCATACGTATTACTAAGTGAAAGAAGCCAGTCTGAAAGGTGACTACTGAGTGATCCCAGCTATAGGACATCCCAGAAAAGGATAACTATGGAGATGATAAAAGGACCAGGGGTTGCCAGGGGTTGGGGGGCGGGGGGAGGGATGAGTGAGTGGAGCACAGATGATTTTTAGGGCAATGAAACAAGTCTGTGTGACACCATGATTACATGTCCTTATACATTTGTCTAAATCCATGGACTGTACGACACTAAGAGTGAACACCCGTGGAAACTGTGGACTTTGGGTGATAATGACGTGTCGGTGTGGGTTTACCGATTGTAACAAATGTATGTCGGCGGTGGGGGAGGCAGGTGGAAGGAGAGGATATTTTGGAACTCTCTGTACCTTCTGTTCATTTTGCTTTTAAAGACGAAGTCTCTACTAAAAAATATATACAGGGGCACCTAGGTGGCTCAGTCGGTTAAGCGTCCGACTTCAGCTCAGGTCATGATCTCACGGTTCGTGAGTTCGAGCCCCACATCGGGCTCTGTGCTGACAGCTCGGAACCTGAAGTCTGCTTCAGAGTCTGTGTGTCCCTCTTCTCTCTGTCCCTCCCCTGCTCGCGCTCTGTCTCTCTCAAACATAAAATAAACATTAAAAATTTTTGTTTCGGGGATCCTGGGTGGCTCAGTCGGTTGAGCATCCAACTTTAGCTCAGGTCATGATCTCACGGTCTGTGAGTTCGAGCCCCGCGTCGGGCTCTGTACTGACAGCTCAGAGCCTGGGGCCTGTTTCAAATTCTGTGTCTCCCCCTCTCTGCCCCTTCCCCGCCATGCTCTGTCTCTCAAAAATGAATAAATGTTAAAAACATTTTTTTTTAATTTTTGTTTCAAATATATACAACAGTAAACGAAGAGTCTGTTCCAACACTGGAAGGAAGAGCGGCCGTGTTAGAGAAAATGTCCAAAAACAAACAAACAAAAAAATCCCAGAATTCCTCACTGCAAAGTTCTTTGTGATAGGCAGGAACTAGAAACAGCACACGTGCCCACAGCAGGGAAGTGGACAAACCATTACTGCTGCTGTAGCAAAGGACTGCACAGTTTATTCCCTCACAGAGAGAGGCCGGAGTTCCAAAGTGGGCCTCACTGGGCTACCATCAAGGCATCAGCAGGACTTTGTTCCTCTCTGGAGGCTGAAAGGGAGATCCTTTTGTTACCTTTTCTAGCTTCCGGAGGCCACCCAGGCCCCTTCCATTTTCAAACCAGCAACGCCAGCCGAGGCTTCTCACACCGTGTCACCCCTGACCCTCGTTCCTGCCTCCTCCTTCCATTTCTGAGGACCCTTGTGATGACCCTGGGCCCTCCTGGGCAATCCAAGATCATCTCCCCAGCTCCAGGTTTGCTAGTTTGCAACCTTAACTCTATGTGCAGCCTTGGTTCTCCCTTGCCAAGTCATATACTATATCCACAGTGTCCTGGGATTAGGCATGGACATGTAAGGGGGGCCATACACACCATAGAAATCTATTCAGCAAGAAGAAAAGAACAACGTATTAAGACAACGTGGCAACAACGTGGATGAACCTCACAAACATTATGCTGAGGAAGAGAAGCCAGGCGCCAAAGATGACCTACTATATTATTCATTTGAAGTGCCAGAACCAGGTA